GGCCACACTTCTTCGGAGCCGAAACAAGTTCTGAACTCTTTAACATATCATTTGCAAATAGATTAACTATAATTAAATTAATGTATATGTCAATGCACCACTTTATTGTCTATGTTAATGGCTACTTCAGATTGCTTAAAATAGGCTTAAATGTGAAATGAATTCATATGAGTTTAAAAGTTAAACTTTTCAGAAGATGGCAAATGAATCATTTTTTTGCATTTAAATTGCTACAAATTGATACCTTATTGATTACCCACAAGCCATTTTTGTAAGAAAAGGGCATGTTAATTATTGATATATTTCTGATATTTCTTTTCTCATACCTTTTTTATTTTCCCTACCTCTATATTCCAGTGAATAATTTTAATTTTAGTATAAAAATGACTAACTTTTCAAATGTCAATTGTAGAAAGATATACCTCACATTTTATCATCTCATTAATCTCTTTAATCACATTTCATCTCATGCTCTACCTGCATTAATCATGTTCTATGTTGTCTAATCTTCCATCATTTATTTATTACATAACCATTTTTCTCACTCTCTTTCATATCATTTATCACATGTACAATTTCATAATTGAATAATAAATAAATTTTCAGGAACTATTTGAAAGTTTATGTTCAGATCTGTAGCAAATGAATTAGTTATCTTTATTTGTATGATAAAATACCAATTAGTGGATCTGGATTTCTGTGCCACATTTCTCCCTTTTGATAGTATGTGGGAACTCTGGTGCACTGTTCTAAACACAAATCTGTCTGTGTGTTCCAACCACTTTTTTTATCTCCTCAAGATTCCATATATTGGTGGATAGATATCTTGAAAAACATGTAAAGGGAAACAGGTTAAAGAGCATGTGCAGTATAAACGCTTGGCAAAATATTATTCTTACTCATAAATTATCTACAAAAGTTACTAAAATTTCACATTTTAGAACCTTCGAATGCTTGAGAAGCCACTCCTGTTTATTTCCCTATGTTAAGCTGCAGCAACATCAACTGCTGCAGCTGTGTCAGCAGCAACAATAACATTCAGAAACAGGCTGTACGCAAAAACCAGCACATACGTTTAAAGGTTGAAGGTAATAAAAATAACTATTAAAATAATAACGTAATAACATGCAATCCAAATTTTCTTAAAGTAGCTTTGAATCCTAAATGGCTTGATCCTTCTTCAGACGTTACATGTCAAACGTAAAAAGAAAAGGATCATTAGTGTAGTTTTTCTCAGTAAAGGGTGGTTAACAAACAACCTCTCACATTAACATGGTACTTTCATACAAGCTCCAATAATAATAGCGTATAGTGGTATAATCTCCACTAGTGGATATGGATGTTGTCTTGGTGACTTCAGAGTTTTGCTGTGCAGAATATGAAATGACAAAGCAAGATTCCAATAGTGCAATATTGTAAATATAAATTGACTATTGTGAAAACCAAAAGATAGCAGATACACTCACAAACAAGGGGCTATTTGTCTATAGCTCAAAGTTTCAGGCATGAGGTGGCACAATCTCCACCTAAAGATTGCTCATATTCACAATATTCTAAGCAGCATGAATGTATATGGAAGGAAAAACAAAAGTATATCGTGCTCTCTGTAATTGTGTATATTGAAATAAAGGTGAGAATGTACTCACATTTCCAAGAACAATAAGATTGCTTAGTTCTATCATCTAGCATAGGAGTAGGTGTCCAAATTCTAGAAGGATGTGCTTCAGAAAATATTCCAGGAACAAAATGGTAAATAAAAAACAATAAATACAATTTTAAGCTGTGAGAGAAAATGTGGAATGGTTGTTGAGGTAATATATATTAGGCCTGATTTACTAAACAGCAGCCAGAGATTTCTCAATTAAATGCCCCAGGGAGAGATGTTAGGTTTGCAAGATACGTTGTTGGTACTCTGCAAACCATAGTAAGGGTCCCTGGGGCGGAGCATTTGGAGAGCAGGGTGGGCCAGTGTTCCAATAGTACTAGTTGCTATATAACAGCCAGACAAGATCTTGTGTATATACCTTAGGAGTTCCAGAGATGTGAACTAATTGATACTCACCCATAGCTGGTTAAGTCACCCAATTCCAGTTAGTGATTATTGTGTTTAGTAAGTGCTCAAACAAGAGCAAGGAATTTTGTTTTGTTTATTATATTTTGCATTAAATAAATTAGAATCACTGATCTCATATCCTCCTCAGATCACATGTCTGAGAAATCAACTACCTTACATTCTAGTAGCATAATATCTGAAAGTTTTGCAGTCTGGTGGTCAAATAGTTTAACGATCCATTGGTCTAATAGTGTGTCTATGTGTGTGTGGGGAATTTAGGTTTTGGGCTTCCATCAATCTGGTGTGAGGGTCTTAAGGTAGTCCTCCCAATGCTCCTCTTAGATATGTTTCTTGGGAGTCAACTGTTTCTGGGACATAGCTTTGTAATCGAAGTTTGTCATGATCTTCCGTATCAGGGCCTTAGTGGCAGGTGCCCCATTAGTTTTCCATTCCTGTGCTATCATTGTCAGGACTGATATGAGGACATGAAAGATCCAAACCCTACTCCTTCTCTCAAACTGGTCCAATGTTAGGAATAGCAGTCTCAGCTCTGGTCGGAGCGTAAACGTGTATCTAGTATTGTTGAGATTATCCTCTCTACATCTTTCCACTAAGGTCAGATATGTGGGCATGTCCACCATATGTGTAACATTGTCCTCCGTTCCATGTAGATGTTGGGGTATATTTTTGCCAGTTTATAAGGCACCATGTACCATCTATATTGTAGTTTTCTCATTTGTTCTAAGTGTGATACACAGGCTGTTTTACCCTTGTATGCTATATAGGCATTATGCCAGTGATTAATGGTATCTGTGGTTTGTAGGTCTGAGTGCCATGCTAAAATATGTTTGTCCATTGTGTCACCTGTAACAGTGTTGAGTAGATGGTAGATAATTTGTGGGGGGAGTTGTTGTAGCTAGACATGCCTCCTCTACCTGGGTCATGGTTGGCGGGTCCTGTGTGAGGGGGATTAGGGAACACAGTAGAGACTTGAGCTGTAGTTAGGAAAATAGTGCTCGTTGGGGCAAATCAAATTAATCCCTTAAGGACACATGACACGTGTGACATGTCATGATTCCCTTTTATTCCAGAAGTTTGGTCCTTAAGGGGTTAATCCTGCAGCTCTGGGAATCCTAATTTGGTGCAGCTGTGGAGTTGCCACATCCTATGGTCAAAGGAAGGGTTGGACATATGAATGCTATATATCGGGGGTTGTCAGGGACCAGGGCTCAGTGGAGCCTAAGATCTTTTTGGCGGCATTCCATGTGTGTAATAGTAAGTTGTTCAGAGAGGCATATGACATTTAACCCCAGGAGGAGTATGTGTTGTATGTAACTTAAATTAGATGTTTAGATGTGGGCCCCTGGGGTGGAACATTTGGAGAGTAGATTGGGCCGGTGCTCCACTCCTTAGTTTGCAAGCAACTGGGAGACATAAGGTCTCCAACCCATTGCTCAGCTGTAATTAATCAGCTGCAGCAGTGGGAATAAACCCCTGCCTGTTAGGCAGGTAAGAAGAGATTTTTGGTTTCTCCTTTTGAGTTGGAAGTAGCAGGCTGGCTTGGAGCACTGGAGAGACAGAAACTAAGGTTGTTACGTTAAACCCTTGATAGATAGGGATCTAAAAGTCATTAAGAGCTCAGATGAGCTATGTTTTCATTTGCAGGGAATTCAGTTATATTCTTGTTTCTTTTGTATTGCTGCTGTCTCTTGAGTGGATTTTTCAATACATTGCCTGGAGTTGTAATAAAACCAAAAGACTGCGCATGTTTTATACCCTAGAGGACCATGCTAATTTCAATACAGGATCACAGTATATAGAACCCAAAATTCCAGCTTCTAGGATTAAATACATCCATGCTATAAGACAGATATTTATTTTATAATTAACAAATGATAAAGCATTGTCTTTACTGTTTTTCTATACCCTATCAGTTTTTATTATGATAAATTCTAAAGTTGTGTTATTTGTCTCCAGGCATTATGCTGTCATTGTCCCTTCAGAGATCCAAGCTTTGCGTTCTCAGCTTGCTTGTTTGCACGTGAATGGCGCAACGAGTCAGACCAGTGTAAAGCTCACCCTTAGCATGAGAAGTCAACAAACAACACTAATGGAAAAGACATTTCAGGCGAAAGAAATGTTTTCATGTATTCCATTCCAGGTAATGCCACCATAGTGTAACAGATAATGGAACAATTCAGAGGTAACATTCTAAATGCAGAAAAATCATAGCAATCAATGTTTCAGTAGATCTCTACACTTTGCACTTTTCCACCTTTTATTGATTTGCTACGTATGATTGTAGATTGTAAGCTCATTTAAGCAGGGTACTCATCAATTACAATTACATATTCCTGTAACTTTATAATTGTCTCATGACAGGTGCATAGTCGGAATAAGGACAAAACCCCCCACATTTTTTTTCCAATAAAACACAGACACTAGGGTATATGGGTCAAAATTGTCCACAGCTTTTATAAAATAGTAATACATTACCATAGAAAAAAGAGGTCATTACCCCACCCCCCGCCATCACATCTGTATTATAAAAGGCAATGACCCATATATAACTAACAAATAACAGTTTTCCAGCATGAACATAACTTAATTTAAAGTGGCAACATTTTAATTAACCATGGTAGTGATATACCCAGATACCGATCCATGTTCTGATCCACCGACAGGGCTCAAAATCTACCTGACTTACAAAGAACCAGGGGCGGACTGACCAGTCGGGCACTTCGGACATGGTCCGAGGGCCTGGCCAGGAGGGGGGCCCGCCGCCAGGGCTGCCATCAGGGGGCCCGGCGGCAGGGCTGGATTGGGGGCGGCATCTGGGGACTGAGGTGTCCGGCCGTGTTTCATGCTGGAGCCGCCGGTCCGGGTGGCAGCCTCGTCGATCCGGCGGCACTCCTGTCCTCTCACTAACGCTGAGGACAGAAGGAGGAGGAGCATGTCTCTCTGTCATGCTCCCTGCGGTTCCAACATCCTGTGCTGGGAATTGTGGGAACCGCAGGGAGCATGACAGAGAGACATGCTCCTCCTTCTTCCGTCCTCAGCGTTAGTGAGAGGACAGGAGTGCCGCCGGACCGGCGAGACTGCCACCCGGCCCGGTGGCTCCAGCATGAAACGCGGCCAGACACCTGTGTCTCAAGTCAGACAAAGAGGGGGATAGGGAGATGGGGAGTGGGAGAAAGAGGGGATGAGAGGGGGAGAAAGAGTGGGGAAAAGGGAGATGGGGAGGGGGAAAAGAGGAGGGGGAGAAAGAGGGATAGGAGATGGGGAGGGAAAGAGGGGAAGAAACTTATGACACAGAGGGGAGAAAGAGGGAGATGGGAGGAGGGAAAGAGGGGATGGTGAGGGGGAGAAAGAGGGGATTAGGAGATGGGGAGGGGGAGAAAAGAGGGAGATGGGGAGGAGGGAAAGAGGGGATGGGAGGGGGGGAGAAACAGGGGATAGGGAGATGGGGAGGGGAGAAAGAGGGGAGATGGGAGTGGAGGGAGAAAGAGGGGGATGGGGAGGGGGGAGAAAGAGGGGGGAGAGATATGGGGAGGGAGGAGAAAGAGGGGGGAACAGAGAGATGGGGAGGGGGGAGAAAGAGGGGATGGGGAGGGGGAGAAAGAGGGAACAGGTAGATGGGAGGGGGAGAAAAGGGGAGGAAGAGGGGATGGGGAGGGGGAGAAAGAGGAGGATGGGAGGGGGGAGAAAGGGGAAAAAGGGGAGATGGGGAGGGGATAGGAGATGGGGAGGGGGAGAAAGAGACAGAGAGGGAAGAATGAGACACAGGGGGAGAAAGTGGGGAAATAGAGAGATGGGGAGGGGAGAAAGAGACAGAGAGGGAAGAATGAGACACGGGGAGAAAGAGGGGGAATAGAGAGATGGGGAGGGGGGAGAAAGAGAGGGAAGAATGAGACACAGGGGGAATAGAGAAATGGGGAGGGGAGAGACAGAGAGGGAAGAATGAGACACAGGGAGAAAGAGGGGGAATAGAGAGATGGGGAGGGGGAGAAAGAGACAGAGAGGGAAGAATGAGACACAGGGGAAGAAAGAGGGGGAATAGAGAGTTGGGGGAGGGGGGAGAAAGAGAGGGAAGAATGAGACACAGGGAGAGAAAGAGATGGGGAGGGGGGAGAAAGAGGAGAGAGACACACAGGAAAAGGAGGGAGAAAGAAACAGTGGAAGAGAGAGAGACAGGGAGAAAGGAGAGAGACACACAAAGGGAGGGGGAGAAAGAGGCAGAGGGGTAAGAGAGACTGGGAAGGAGAGGGGAGACATAGACACAGGAGCAGTGAGGGGGAGAAAGAAACATACAGAGGGACGGGGGGAGACAAAAAAGCACACAGAAGGGCTGTATATATCACTGGCCCCCGCCCTCCTCTGTCCGCAGGCACCGTGCGGGCAGCCGGCAGGGGAGGGAGGAAGAGAGGACCCGGGAGCTCAGCCTGCAGCTCCTCTGGGTCCTTCTTGCACGAGCACAGAGCGTTGCCGCGGTTACCATGGCAACGTTACCGCTCTTGCGAGAGTCAACTCTAGCCCTGGAGCTACGGGCTAGAGTTCACTCTCAACACTGTGACCACCAGGGATTCCTGGTGGTTGCAGTGTTGAGAGTGAACTCTAGCCCCATAAACACACTGCCCCCACACACACACACCATACACATTCACACACTGCCCCCACATACACACACACTGCCCCCACATACACCATACACATTTACACACATTGCCTCACACACACACACACACACACATACACTGCCCACCCATATACACACAGACCCCCATACACAGCCCCCCATACTAACATTGCCACACACATACACAGCCTCCTCATACACACATTGCCCCACACACCCTACACATTCACACACTACACCCCCACACACACACTGAACCTTTCACACACACTGCACCCCTCACACATTGCACCACTGCTCCTATACCCTACTACAGCCCCATATCCCAGCAGACCCCAGGTAAGTTGTCAAACTGTTCTTAAACGGCCCTCCTGGCACCATAACCACTACACAGAGCAGTAGTGGTTATTGTGCATGGATTATTTCTTTAAATAATCTACAAGTGCCCCAGTAGCCAGCCAGCCCACAGGCCGGCCAGCCAGCCAACCCACAGGCACCCCACAAGCCACCAGTTAGCCAGCCCACAGGCCAGCCAGGCCAGTAGCCAGCCTACAGGCCTATAGCAAGCCACAGGCTTACAGCCAACAAGCCCACAGCCTGCCAGTCGCAGCCAGCAAGCCCACAGCCTGCCGGCAGTAGCCAGCAAGCCCACAGCCTGCCAGTCGCAGCCAGCAAGCCCACAGCCTGCCGGCAGTAGCCAGCAAGCCCACAGCCTGCCAGCCGCAGCCAGGAAGCCCACAGCCTGCCAGCCGCAGCCAGCAAGCCCACAGCCTGCCAGCAAGAGTAATTAAGGTAAGAGGGGCCAACTTGGCCTAGGTATCAGTGAGCTATGTTGTGTTGCTATATTGTGAATAGGAACCAGAGTGTTGGAGAGACCCCCTTCCAGGCCCCATTAGACTCCATTGTAGTCTCTAATGGGGCCTTCTTTCTAACACACTCTCTAAAGGACACTGAGATAGCCTCTGCTAGAATGACCCCCCCCTCCATGGCCGATTAGCCCTCAATTGTAGTCTCTACTGGAGGCGACTGTTTCCAGCAGGGGCTATCTAATGGATGATGAGATGGCCTCTGTTAGAAAGACCCCCTTCTAAGCCTATTAGACGCCATTGTAGTCTCTAATGGGGCTTGGAGGGGATTCTTTCTAACACACTCTCTAAAGGACAATGAGATAGCCTCTGCTAGAAAGACCCTCCTCCGTGGCCCATTAGCCCTCAATTGTAGTCTCTACTGGGGCCTCGAAGGGATTATTGCACTTTTGTTCCTTTTGTCTAAAGAATGTGTAGGGTGTGGCTGGAGGCGGTGCATGGAGGCGGGACAAGTGTGGCGCTTGCTGCGGAGTATGGGTGGGACCTGTAAAGGGGCCCTTGATTTATTTTGCCCGGGGGCCCTGAGGGTTCTCAGTCCTCCCCTGCCAAGAACCATATTCAACCATTTCCATAACCATCCTAATGGGGAGCCTATTTAATATCCTTAGCTCCCTATCCTGCCACAAGCTCAGACCTTGATCCCTTAAGCTGTCTGAGCTCCGCCACCTCAAAGAAACAGCGCTTTCTGTAGTCCTTCCTGCCAACCCAGGGTCAGAAAGTCCCACCCCACTTCGGAGAGGTGTACTCCATCTGAATGGAAATCTCCACCTGGAAATCCCCCTTTCAGGTCCTTATGCCTCACTATCACTCACCCCACTTTCCTGACAAAACTAGTTGTCAAGCCATTCACCTTCCCCCAGCAGCGATCAATTGCTAACGGGTCAGGAGCGTGACTCCACTGCTGCCGGGAACTATCTCCGACCACACCACCAGTACCCCATGGAGCAGGCCCCTCAACCTAGTAATATCCTGCTACATCCATTTTACAATCCATTTTTCAGGCCCACCCACCCAATATCATCCAAAACACAGCATCACACAGGCCCCCCCCCAGCAGAAATCCCTGAAACCAAACCAACAAATCGCCAACTATCCACCAGAAAGCCCGGCTGCTGACCTTCAACTCTAGTTACAGCCCTCCCCTCGGCCCAGAAAACGACAAATGACCTACGATCCATGCAAATTTTCCTGGGGAAACAAACAAAATATTAGCACTGACTCCCAGGACCCCACAGTACCACCCTTCTCACTCCAACAGCCCCAAACATACATAACGGAACCTCACTGACTCCCATCTCCCAAACCTCTTGACCAAGGCCACCCCCAAGCCTAACAGTGTCACTTCCAGAGCTGCCCAAACGTGGAAGTAATGCGTCCCAAACTTACCAGCTTGCAACTGTAGTGGTCACCCCGAAGTGTAGAGGGGTTTCCACCACCAGAGATGTCATTCTCCCAAGTATGAGATGTGTTACCACATTCCAAGTGGTCATCCAAGTCGAGAAGCAGGCATAGTTGTGAAGCTCTTATAAGAGCTAGTAGTGATGTCTCTTGTTGTAGGGAAGCTAAGACTTTGTGTTGATGGTGAAGTAAGTCTGGTTTAAAGGTTACCACACTGATCTTTTATGCAAGTCCACATGCAAGGGGTACACCCACATGGACCTTGTGAGGGACTAGGATACAGAATTCTCAACCAATAATAACAGGGTTCTACAGTATGACGCACCAATACAGGACGCACAATCCCTCCCCTCTGCCTGGGAGATAATTGAGTCTCAACTCAATTACTGTCTCAACTCAATAATCTCCAAGGAACATCATTTATAGATAATCTGAAAGTACCCCCAAAACAAGTATATCCCAATAAAAAGCATATCCCCTGATAGCCCGATCTGGGTGAGCAACATATTTAAAAATCACCCAGATCAGTTTGGGGGTTCGGAATTCGTTTGGACGTCTTATTTCTGGCAGATGGACACGAGGCTTCTGCCCAGAATAGTTCCATAGAATCAAGCTGTGTGGCCAGTCTCTTTCAGAAGTACCAAAACAACTGTCTATAAGGGAAATAACTGTTCATGCATCCGTTCCCATAGTCCTGGTGGTTCGGGAGATATTCTTACCAAATGCCGTTCTTTTCGTGTGCACACCATGTCTGTGGACATCTGTTTACATGGAAGTATTAGCGGTGTTCGCCACATCGAGTCTAGTTCCATGCAATCGACCACCAAACACCGCTGGCCGCATTCATATTCTAAGATGGCCACCACCACGTGTTTGGGCATACGAATGTGACCACCCAGCCGACCGCTTAGAACATTGGGGTGTTTGCGGCTTTGGAAGTGTTAGGAAGGGTCAATAAAGTTAACAAGTGCCACACTCCACATCTGGGTGGTCTGTTGTTTGGTAGTCGTTAATTGAACGGACAATGGTGGTATAGGGCATAGCTGTATTTCTTCGAATGGCGAAAGGGTAACATAGACTTTAAAAATCCAAGGACAGAGGGTCAGTCACAGAAACCCCGGTTTCGCCAACTTTGCTAACTTA